ACAATTGGGCTTTAGTACAGCACTAGTTAATGAGATTAGTTGGTGGGCGAGTAGAGCATCTCCAACATAGCAAATAAATAGACTGATTTCTCTTTAAGTAGACTTTGAATGGATTAAATCACTCTCCAATGATAAATGTTTAAACACAGTTTGTGAGCATCGGCATGTAGGTTCCAGATCCAAGTGGTAGTATCGGGCTTCCATAGTGTGACGGGCGGTGTTTACAAGGCCCGCAAAAGGATTCATCGTGCAGTTACGCCTCTCTCCAAATTAATTATAATTTTTAATTAAAGATAAGAAGTATGTCTAGCAGGGCTTTGAGATGTGGAAAGAGTTCTATAATTTTTAAACCTCTCTCATGCCACATCATAAAAAATAGAAGTAAATAATTTACCATTGGAGATGTTTTTCCTTACACTGTCTCTATAATCTGCAATTGAAACACCGTGCTCTTAAACATGCCGTGAGCATAGTCTAATTTACATAAATTGTCAAGCAAATAAAAAAGTTTCCATAAAAAAAAGTACCCAACGAGAATTTAAAAAATGCTAGAATTCTAAAATAAATTAAACTATCAAGACAGAGAAATATAAAATAATTTCAAAGGTTCATCTTTTTTTTTTTTATATCTTCAATTTCTTGTCCAATAGTCTTCTATCTTCTTTTTCTTCTTCTTCAAACATCGTGAAACTCACAGAATAAATTACTCAAGCATATGCCGAGGATTGTTCGTCACGACATTGCCTTTGTTCCAGTACCTCCAGCAGTCGTTGCAGAAATGACCGGGCATAGAAATCATATGATAAAAACAACCTGTTGGTTTAACGACATAGAATTTTTAGTTTCAAAATTGTAACTTTTTGCTTTTTGATCATGTAATTTAGTATTTTGCTGCAATTTCAGTCTTTGAGGACTTAGATTGCAACAAAATTTATTAGCAGTTTAAGTCCTTAGTTTAAAATTTTGTTGCAATTTTAGTCCTACTTAAAGGACATAAATTGCATTGAATTTTTTAAAACATAGGATTGAATAACAAAATGGTATGATCTTAGGACTAAAAACGTCACTGGATCAAACCAACAAGATCCAAACTACAATTTTGCCTAAAAACAACTATCAAACAACATTAAAAAAATAACATAACAACTGTTAAACAACATAAAAACAATAATTTGCCGCATATCTCATATTCACATAAAACCACAAAAGAAAAATAAATAAAACAATGAAACAATATGTCAACAATTGAAAAGGGAATTTGTTTTGGGTACTTCTAACAAAGTAAAATATAAGAAACCATACTTCTTATAAAAAAAATTACATTACAATTTTTTCAGACATAACAACTAAAGCATAGCTTTAAAAATAAAAATAAAAATAAGAATTATATAGTTGAAAAAAAAAAAACCCAATAA